GTTTGTTTCGCATTCCCCTTCACTCCCTCCCACCATCGGTTCACACTGCATACGCAGTTTTCGTAAACGGAAAATAATTTACAATGATTCTGCATTAAAATGAATATAAATCAGTCAAAATGATCAACGAATAAACAATCAACGTCAAAATTAATCACAAAATTTCAACAAACCAAGGCAACATCATACAATCGCCGTTCAGAGGATAGCAGAAATTGACTAAAAGTGCTTCAGTGAATGCTTGCTTGACATGCACTGAGTATGGGATATGCATTTCTGGCTGACATTTCTAAATTTCCGCATCACATTCCAAATTGTTTGTTTCAAACATGCCACGGACCGAAGCAGAAGAACATCTAATACGAATCGATTTAGTCAAGGAACTACGCACATTACCTTTTTAAAACAACTAAATTCCAAGCTTATCAATTCAAAAACTCTCCAGAGAATTGTACAAACAAATGCATCAACAGCATCAATTGCTGATCGAATTCACTTTCCGTGAATTGCTTCCTGGATGTGGTAATGGCCGCGAAAAAGACAAAGTCAAGCAAGCAATTCCTCACGAATTATGACACAATTCAATCACATACCGCAACCAACTTCAATTAGAATTTCTTGTTGGAATCGAATCAAGTCTCAAAAATTAGTATAAAAGTTGAGAGAATATCGCTTGAGGCCTTGAAAATCAAGCAAAGACATATGTAACCGGTAACAATTGGTTTCATCCTTCTAATCGCTCGAGAAAATTTGGATCCTTGAAGTATTCCGGGATTGGATCATCCATACGATTGATAATCTTATAGATTGTCTTCTTCCAAGACGGTTCGGCATCCCGACCATTTTGTATTGCATTAAAGAACTCACGTAACGTCTCTTGAATCACCGACACTAACCTTTCGGGTGGCTAAAACAATGGCGTATTTATCTGCTCATAAAAACATATTCTTAATTCTCCTTGCTGGGATCAGGTTAGAATTCAATCGGTTTTTGCTTCCGACGAGTGGTGATTTCGCATTCATTTTTGATGATTGCATTCTGACGCATTTCTTCAGCATTTCTTAAAATGACTCTTTAAGCCGAATGAACTTTTTAATGTGCTGATTTCAGTTCCAAATAGAATCATTCAGAAAACAATCTCGATCAATTTGCAGAATCAATAAACCAGTGAGGTGATCGAAAAGAAAATTATGTGAGGCACATCGAAAAATGCGATTTCACGAACGCAAATGAAAATTTATTGACATCGGTCTACAGTGGGCATTAGTAGCGATACCTGTATGTGATTGTTCCGATTGTAATGTTGATTGAGATTCTTATATATTTCTGAATCGACGGTCACGATTATGTCTTCTTTATTCTTCACACCTTCAGCCAAATAATTACGCGCGTATTTGTCCATTTGATTGTAGAAAAATTCACTGAAATGAATATTCTTGAAGAGAATAAGTCAACTTTTGCATATGAAATGAGGTTAGGCAACAATTTTTTGACTGATGTTGCGTGATTTTTCGAGTATGGAAATATTATTTCGAGTAATACAAGAAGATTACTGAAGCGTTCACTTATTTCTTACGGATTCATTTCAGTGAATCCAATATAATTCACAATCATACATTATCAAGTCATTATCACATGCCTTGAGGAAAGCATGCAAAAGGGGTACTTCATCAATTATAAACTATTAAGTTAGAACAACTGAACAAATACCATGATCACTTATTATAGCGACGAATTTATAACTAGGGACTGAAGTTCTCGAAAAAATTCCGCTTTCCCTGACCCCATTGAACTTTGACTTTCTTTTTGTTGCGATCAGAAGAACTACTGACTCGCACCTTTTTTGGAGCGCGCCAAAAAATGCAATTTGATAAGAGTGAGGTATGAAGTGGAAGTGATTGATCGTTGCAATAAGCAAATGACAATGATAACAACTGGTATTGTCTCAGTTGCATTCGACATTAATAATATAATCGAAAACGATATCTGTTGATTGCTTAATGTGAGGTATCATGTTTCGGTGTATTTTGTTCAAATAAACTTGCGATGACCGTGATGAAACGATATGATACAATTGCAAGTTCACATCCACTTCGCTATTCAATCCATCATTCGAACTCTATCAAAATCATCGCAGTCATAACAACAGCAATAA